CATACATTACATTGCATTAAGTTTGATTTTTTGTACAACTTCACATGTCTAAAACCTCAAGTCTGAGTCTGATACTGCATGTACTGACTCAACTTTTGGATTCGGATAAGTTCGGACAGATCATTTAACATCCCTACTTAGTACATTTTTGAGATATAGCATTGAGGTGATAATCACCTGCGGTGGGATTTAGCAATACCCATTATTTATTTTTAGTGTTAATTCACTTTTAATAAATTATATACGAATCAAACTTATAAATTCTTCGGTTCGCTATATAACACTTTATATAACCAAAAAAAGGGAACGTTTAAAACGTTGTGCATCATATGTTTTTTGACTATTTAATTAAAGTTAGGATAAGAGTTAGAGCATATCTTGTAGGTGAGATCACCTTCCCGACATTTTTTATTAGTTCACCAATATAGGTTTAGACATTAGTTTTCTTCGTCGGCCATAAGTCACGTGATAGCACAACGCTTTAAACGACCCCAAAAGAATTTTTTTGCTATTGTAATTAATACATAATTACAAAATAAGTTTCAATAACGATAACTATTTGTCACTATAGCTTGGGAAAATTGTTAATTAATTCACACAAGCTTACAATCAATGTCATATTATGTGCCACTTATTTGTTATGGTAATATTATAATTTTTCTAGGGTTAAGTTCGGCACAGTGATAACTTAAATAGTTACATGTTTTCTTGTTGTTAATGAATCGGATAAAATCAAAAAATGACGTCAATATCGGATTAATAAATCCATATCACAGATATCCATATTTTGACATTACTGTTAATAAATTAAACAATAAAGTAAATAAATAAGCAAACAAGAGAAAAATAAATGAATAAACAAACAGACAAAAATATTATTTTGTCAAACTCGAAGTAATGAATCAAAAATTCATAATAAAAAATTTCAATTTTGTTATATTCAAAATCTATAATACATTCTAAAGTTCAAATTCAATTACACTAAAATTTTACATGGACTCATCTTTAGTGGGTTGACCAAGTTACACAATTGTTGTCATAATAGTTAGTTGAGCAGTGTGATAACAAAAGTACTATTAAATAAATAAATTTTAGCATCACCGGACTTAAGTCTGTATGATTAAAGAGAAGGACGATAATAAGTAAATTAAAGGAAAACATTATGTGATAAATATAAACGACAAACAAATTGACCTAAATAACTAAATTTTGTTAAAGAATTCAAAAATTAGAAGTGATACGAGAAGTTTTTTTTGCCATGCGACAATTGATATATGTAGCATAGTTTTGTCATTAAGCTGTTGTAGGCTTTCTAAGTAGCATAAAGAACATCGGGGTGAAGATTCCTGTTTCTCCACCTTCAACCAGAGCATCTGCCGTTTTATTGAGGAAGCAGGCCACATCAGTTGAACCAGGTGCAGCGATGCGAAGACTTTCAAGAAGATAAACAAATTTATGAGTAGTCCTGGTAATTGATTTAATTGATAATTAATTAACCAGAAATAATTAGAAATTAATTAACATAAATCATATGTATATTATATATATGTGTGTTTTTTTTTTTTAGCATACCATCTGCCTATGCGAGTCATTCTGAATCCTTTAAGAGAGAAACCACCTTTTAAAGTCAAGTACCAAGGTACGTGACATTCAGATAAGATGGCCATATCCTCATGTTCAATCAATTCGAAACCAACATGTTTAGCCGCATCAATTGCTTGTTTATAAGAACTCAAAGAAGGGATAGAATTACCTTCCTATGTTTAAATTCAAAAACATAAGAAAATGCATGTAATATAAATGTAATATAATGTCTAAATAAGATCAAATATTTTGCACCAACCTCAATACCGTGAATGATGCGTTTATGTTCAGGATTGTTTTCGTCAAAGTTTGGTGTGGTAACCCATTCGTAAGTAGCGAAAAGGCCACCGGGTTTAAGAGCACGAAATACTTCGCCATAAACCATTTCAAGTTTAGGTGAATGAACAGTTGCTTCGACTGCATAAGCTGAATCAAATTTACCATATAGCTCACGTGGAATGGCAGTGAAATCACCCTAAAAAAATTTTTTTTAATTTTATTGTCGAATTACAAATCAATTATAATTATTTACTTTGACATAATCGCTCTTGTTTTCTAAGCCTAATTTTTTAGCATAGGCTTTACATCTTTCGATTTGATAGCCATTATTATTAAGGCCAGTAACGTGTGCACCTGATAATCTCACTATTTCACGAAGGGGTCCCCCGACACCACATCCAACATCCTAATCACATAAGGTAGTAGTTTATTAATATCATTGTAAAAAATATATATTTGATATGTTAAGTCATACATAATTCTTACAAGAGCTCTTTGTTTTTCATTTAATCCAAGCTTCACGGCTAAATATTGTTCGTGACGTTTAATGGATTGTTCAAATGTATCTCCTTTATAAGCCCGAGCAAAATGAAACGATTCACCCCATCCTATAGAAAAAAATCATTTTCATTATCTTTTACTGATATCTAAAAATACGTTTAGTCTTCAGATTATAATAAATTATACACATGCCATATTCATAAAAATCGGTAACAATATCATAGAACGCGTTCGTCATAGTCTGGGCATTTTCGCGTCTTTTTTGGACGTTATCCTCTTTATTAGAGGAATCCTCTTTATCCTCTTTATACATGCCTATATAACTATCAACAATTTTTCTGTTTAATTGGCTATCTTTTCGATAAATCTTTTTAATGAATCCATTAGCATCGTAAATGATTTCTCCATGGTGCTCTTTAATGTTTTCCGAGACCAAATGGTCTACTTCCGAGGACGACATACTTGAGATGCTCAATATTGAAAATTATAAATTAAAAATGAACATATAACGTCAATAAAAAGGCGCAAGAGGAATATAGTCGTAAAATGGCGTTCACTGTTTCGAAAAAAGAAAGCGAACGAAAAGCCCAAGAAAAGACGAGATGGTCATTATCAAGACGAAAAAATTGTCATACTAGAGATGGAAGTACAAATCCAATTAAGGGGTTTGTCTAACAAGGGTTCCCCAAGTTAAACATTCGAACAATATTACGATAATGATCTTTTATCAAGGGTAATTTATAATTATTTATTACACGCGAAGGTACATTTCATAATACAAATGCTACCATAAATGTTTAATTTGAACATAAATTTGTATATTTTAGTCTTAGTATAAATTGAAAGTCACTCTTGCTATTTCTTGCCATATTTATTTAAATTTCATGTGATATTAGTAAAGTCGGGACTTTAAAGAACTTGACTCTAACCGACTCGAAAACCGACTAAACTGAGTCGTTTAACATCCCTAGTAGAGTTGTTAGGCGAAACCATTTTTGCGTGATGACGAAAGACGAAACCTAAAGCCGGCGGAAGACGAAAGACGAA